CAGTCGCGCAGTTGGCTGTCGGGCGCGCTGCTGCCGCTGTGTGCGGACAGCGCGGCCACGGCCGACCCTTGCCGGCCGTCCAGCAATAACTCTCGTGCAATCTGACCTCAATTAACATAACTTGTCATGACATGAACATAATCACTGAAATCACTTGAAAATATAAATTTTCGCACGATCAACTGAATGGGGCCGTGGCGAGCGCGCCGTGCGCCGCCGACTGCGATAGGCCGTCTCTCGACCGATTCAACTTTTCCCTCGGCAACTCAAGACCAATTAAACATGAAACATCATTTGAAAGCTATTGGGACATAAATCGCATGGACAATCTTGACCATAATTGAAAGTAACATGACATGATACGAAATAGCCCGTGGCCATGCGCGATGTGCGCTGCCAACGGCTGTGAGCCAATTCCGGGGTAAAACAATATTTTGCCTCGACCATCATCAAGTAACTGAGTATAAAATTATGTAAATTGATCAATTAAACATGAACTGTTCATGAGTTGCCGGATAAAACGAGAAGTTACTCGATCACGACTTAACTAGGCATAACCGAACCTTAACATGGCTTAGCTATGAATTCTTGAACCTGAATCGAACACTACAACCTAAAATGAACTTATTTACATGAAAATGAGTTGAGGATGGCTATACCTCCTCAAGTGTTCGACGGGATTCGCAAAATGCCTATGACCTCGCGTGCGCGTACTTGTATGCGGAAGCTTGCCGTGCGGTGCTTTGCTATTTGCCGTGCCTTCAGTACCCCAAGAACTTCTTGATAATTTTACTAACTTTCCCACTCTTTAACTTCAGAATGTTGAGGACTAGTATATGATATAAAGGGATGGGAATTTATCGGACCAAACACTCATATATATATACTAACTGAAGGAAGTAACTTACTTTGGAAGATGATAGCAAAATACTCAACTATCACTTGCTGGAACTAGTAGCTTAAATGGTACGATTATAGGGCTGCAAAGTTTGGGAAAATTTGATCCCAACCCATTACTTATATTAAGACCGAATGGATGACAAGGTGGAGATGTGGCCTTCTCTTAATCTTGACACTTGCCAACTAATTAGATAAATTATGGGTGACTAATCTCCCATTTTACCTTCTTAAAATGACATGTGTCCTTACTTAAGGCGGAGGAAAATGACTCCCAACTTAAGACATTACTTTGCCAAACCGTACGGCTTTTGAAAAGAATTGGAAGCATTAACACGGCCTAATGACTTTGACTAGTGATTAATATTTAATTAATCACCTACTTATGCTTAATTAATTTTTAAGCATAATACTTAATTACCAAAATTATTCCGAACGTAAAACGGTACGTCAAATATAATTTTCGGTAATCTCGACTGAAAATAATTAATTCCAAAAATAATAATCGATAACATTATTATATCGGAACTAAAACATAATTTATACTAATAAAATAACGGGTTATTACAGCAATCGATTTGTATATGCGATTATTAAAAATGCGAAAGATGTTTGCAAATTTCTAAATTATGCGTTTGATGTGGATATGCGATTAGAAAAATGCGAAATGTTTACGCATTGTCATAAATTATGCAGTCGATTGGATATGCGCTGGTTTATTTGGACATGCGAGTGTAATATCGCATAGCATTTCGTGAGTTTTGGGGTGTAAAAGAAGTTATTTGATGGGGCGGTGTGTAAAAGAAAGAATAGATTTATAATTGGGTGAAAAAGATTTTGACCCAAAGGAATATATCCATTGAATTACTTGCGAAATGCACGACAACTTGCGTGCTTGTTCGGTGATCAAATGCTATGTGTGTGCTTCCCTTTAGCTTTGGCTACTCTTATCAATTTCTCTATAATTTTTCTCTCAACTTTCCTCATTACTTTCTGTTTGTCCTATTTTTGTTGCGTTTTTCGTGTTTATTTTATCATTCTTTTTCCCCCGTTTTAGGTTGTTTCTTTAGTTTTTAGTCTTTCTCGTGTTTTCTTATGTGTTTTCCTTCATTTTGAGTCTTTAGGTGTTTTTCGTTTTTTTTTCCGGTTCTCTTTTATGTTTTGTCGTTTTTGGTGTGTAGGTCAGGAGCTTCAGGCAGATTTTCTCTTCAGGAAACATTTGTTTCGAGAGCATATATGAATAGAGGGGTTCGTCGGCGACGCGTAGGAAAAAACGGCACTCAATTCCGACTTCAAACGAGCTCAAACGAGGCCAAAACGTAAGATGGCGCAGTGCAGCCCAGAATCTCGCGAGTCGCGAGCACAAAGTCGCGACTCGTGAGTTTAGTCGCGACTCGTGAGAGAAAAGTCACGACTCGCGACTTTAACAGAGCCTCCAGTAGCCCAGCGACCCGTCCAACTCGCGACTCGCGAGTCAACTCGCGAGTCGCGACCCTGTCGACCCCTGTTTTTATTTTTGCTCGTTTTTACTCGTTTTAGCTCCGTTTTTCGCGTACTATATATCAAAACGAACCTCCAAACCTAAGGAACAATCCCCAATATCGTTCCTTTGAAGTTTTATCTCCAAAAACTCAATATTGTTAGGATAATTTTCTCCGCTTTTCTTTTTATTTTCTCATGCTTGGATTGTTGGACACAAAGACATTTGGATTGAAATCTTTCAAGTCTTAATCCGATTGTAAGTTTTTCAATTCTATTTTATTATTGTTGATTGGTTTTATGTTCTTAATTCCAATTAACATGAAATTGAATCTAAACATGAGGTAATCCATTCACCTAGGGTTAGGGATTTTGATTCTTGTTTAAATTATGTGGAATATCTTTTGTTCAATCGATGCGAGTTGTGTGAATTATAGGGTTAGTTGATTGATCACCATTCTAACCTAGTTAATCAACGTGTAGAACCGAGAGGGGAGGCGTTGGTCGATTTAGGCTCGTATAGAGTAGACATGTTCGGAAACGTATTGTCTATGTGTTGCTTGTTTGAATGAGTTTATCGTTTATGTGTGTGCTCTTGTTACGAAGAGTTATTGAGCATAGCCCTCTAGACGTGTAGGCTTGTTAAATCTCGTAACCGAACAAATAATCATTCAACATAGTTTGAAACTTGATGAGATTTCCCGACCCCTAGAACTTCTTTCTTTTCTCTAGAGATTTAATTGTTATTTCTTTATTCGCTTTCCTAGTTCTAATTAGTTTTAGATATTTCTCCAAATCATCCTTGATTAGATTTTTAGGATTTATTTTCTTTTCGTGTGTGATTAATACCAACGCTAAATTCTGAACCGTCTTCCTCGAGAGATCGACCCGGGGAACGAATCTTTTGATTCGGTACTCGGTAAAAATAAAAATAATTT